CATCCCTTCCTCACTAACCCCACCCCCCTTGCCGGACCCCCGAGACCACTTATATTTAACGCCGTTTTTGTCTGCAGCCACATCGGGACACAAACTTGGACCCGGTGCCCAGAGCTGATTGGTTCTTTCGTGTCTTTGATCTCTTGGATAACCGTCTTAACGTGTAGACCACTTGCTGGTGGAGGGGTTTTTCGTTGGAAAAATGGGAGGGGGTCGTGCGCTGGCACAACCCCACCGAAATTGAATCGAGGTAATTGGCTACTTTTTGGTTCTTGAAGACTTTCCCCTGTTCATCCCAAAAAGATTTTCCCAGTTCCAAAGTTTCAAGCGCCGACTCCCCGAGATTCCCGATTCACAAAAGTTTCATCGTCGTTGTGGGACTCGACGCTTCGAATTTTCGAGCTGACTTTTGGATGACGCGAGAAACGTCTTCAGCCACCGACAAGAGCGCAGTTGCCGCCATTCAGCTCTTGCCGAGAGCCACGACCCCAATGACTGAGAATCGAAACAAATTCCACCGATCCTCATGTTCTAAATGTCTTAACGTGTAGACCACTCACTGGTGGAGTTTTGGTTTTGGTTTTCCCACCGGGCAAGAAGTCCAACACTGGATACGTCGTGGTTTTTGTTTTTTTCGAGATGTCCATCGCCAGTCCACATTGGTCAAACTGCCACCCCAACCCCTTCCTCACAAACCCGACTCCCCGTTGCCGGACACCAGTTATCGTTGACGCCGTTTTAGTCCCGAACCCCCCCCCGACCCCCCTGCGCAGGGACGCAAACTTTGCTGAGAGCTGATTGGTTGGTCGGCGTCTTCAATCACTTCCATCCTCACGTTGTAAATGTCTTATCGTGTAGACCACTCGCTGGTGGGGGGGTTTTGCGGGCACATTTGTGGAAACAAGTCTGACACTGGATTCGTCGTGGCTTTTTCAAATCTTTATTTTTATTTTTTTTTTAACAGCTTTGATGTCTTATGTGGTTTATCATGTGGCGATCAAAAAAAAAAAACAGCAGCTATCGTTTTGTTTTTTAGGGGGAGCTACCCCCCACCCCTTCCCCCACCCCTGTCAATCCACCCCCTTGTCCAACGTTTCCTGACATTTTGCAAGAGCGCTCAAGGGGAGTGCGAAATGTCATCGACGACACCCGAGCGCTCGCCGCTAGCGAGGCCGCGCGCTAAGCGTCGGTTTATCGTACGAGGACGGCAGCGGGGGCCCTCTGACCTCTCAAAGGGAATTCCAACATGACGGCGACCGTTTCGGAGCGGGACAGGTCGCCTGCTGCTTTCATGTTTGTTTTTCAATGAGAACGAATGCTTCGTTGTCTTTTTAATGTCAACAAACCGTCAATAAGTGCTCGGAACAATACGGAAAAGTGCATTCCGCCTTGCGTTACAGTGGCGCAATGGATGATTTGATACCCTGCTGCAATTGTAAGTTTGCGCACTAAGAAGAAATTCTCTTGAGCCCTGGGTCAGATGGAGCTGACCTTGGGCGAGTGATGGGGCACATCCCGGATTGCTTGCCGGTCAATCCCAAAGAACAACCCACCATTCACACCGACGTCCCGTTAAGAGTTTTCAATCAAGGTAACGTGCTTGGTTTTGAAATGTGGGAGGAAGCCAGAATTTGCGATTGGCCGGCAACCAGTCCATGGGGATCACCGCCGGCTCACCTTTGACCCTCAAGACGACAAGCACTACGAAAATGTTCGGAGGAGCCATTAGTAGCTGAGGAAAAGCCACCTCAGCACAATGAGAACATGCAAATGACACGCACGAAGCCCGGCGCCCCGATTCAACTCAGCACAAGCCCCTTTCACAAGTTTTTGATCAGGTTTTGGTCTGGAGATTGAGTCTTAAAATTAATTCTGGAGCCACCCCCTTTGTAGCCCTGGCCGGATTTTTTGGGCCAAGACCTCTCCACCGCCGGTCGTCTTTTTCAATCAAGATTTGACAGCACATTATGACCACCGTACCCCAAAACACGACTTTTCTGCCTCCACGCTTGAGAGCGCGGATGGCGTCCTTTGGGTTGGACTCCCATTTTATTTTATTTATTTTTTCATCCCCAAACGCAAAAGCTGCAGTCAAATTTTACCCTCCGTTCCTCCTAAGCCTTGTCCTCGTCATTCAAAAGTTCACCAGCAAACTCCAGGTACTTGGAAAGCCGATGTTTGTTTTCCCGGTGACTGCTATTATGTCTAAGGCCGGAATACGTCAACCTCGAGACTTTTAATGTTCTCACTTCCAAATTCAGCAGGAGATCAAGTCATTATTTCCTCCACTGCGCGCATGTTTGTGCGCGTGCGGGAGAGTGTGCGTGTGTGTGTGTGTGTGTGTATGCGTGGGTGCGTGTTCATTCTCATTTGCAGTCAAAAGCTCAACGCTCGTGCGTTTTAATATGACGTTTGTATAAATATATAAATATAAGGAATAAATAGGAGAGGGGGGAGATATGTAGGTGGTGAATGGGTTTTTTTCAGATGAGCGTGTCAATTGTTTTTTTTTTTTATGTAACAAAGCAGACGGTTTTGAGACATTTCTCTTTGATTTTTTTTTAATTTTAATTTATTTTTTTGAAGGCGTATTTGAGTTAAATACCCACCAAGTTCTTTTTTTTTTTTCTTTTGAATTCCATTTTTACTTTGGTCGCATAAAAAAATATTTTTTTTTTCTCACGTCTTATCTGCCGGTGCATTGAGTGCCTATCACAGCCATGAAGATCATTTTCATGAAACATGTTATTTTTATTTTTATTTTTTTAAAGTGCAAAACCCCACGTGCAAGCACAACAACCCCGTCAAAGAGATTACAAACGATTAAATCGCTGTCCAAGCACAAAGTGAACGTCCCGCCATGGACGATGGTTGACGTCTTTTGTCAATTTTATTTTTTTTTTTATATTGTTTCTACCATTTTGTAAAAATATGGACTGTAACTTCATTCCATCCTACTTTTTTGTACTCATCACGCTGTAAATAGTGTACATAAGATGGAGAGTGTAGGTCCACTGTGTGCGTGTGTGTGTGTGTGTGTGTGTGTGTGTGTGTGTGTGTGTGTGTGTGTGTGTGTGTGTGTGTGTGTGTGTGTGTGTAAACTAAATGGGACTGCAGCCCCAGAGACTCCACATTTAGCCCAGGTCCCACGCGATGCTCGTGTTTCTCAGTTTACCACTGCTAGGGGGCGCCAGTCTACATGTTCGCTTTTAATGTCCATTGTTACGTTCCAGGATTATCGATGACGGCGGGGGAGGAAAAAAAAATAAAATAAGAGAGAGAGAAATTGTTTGTCTGCAGCCATGTGAATGTATATTTCTGAGGGTGTTACAAATATGGAGAAAAAAAATTTACTTGTTCAAAATTGTGATGACCCAGTGAAGTAACTTGTATTTGTTTTAAACATTAAATGAGTTCAATAGTCAACCAGGTGTGGGTGTGTGGGTGTGTTTTAGTCCTGAAGCGATAAAGGCAATTTGTAATGCTATGCCAATAATCACAATTACAAATTTTCAGACAATGATTTGCTTCATAGTGGGTGCGCAAGGGAACAATTTTTTTGTTTTTTGTTTTTTTTGTGGAAACCGGAGCCCATTTAATGGCATCTAAAATAAATAAATTCCTCAAATGCAAACTATTAAACAAATATTTAATCATACATAAAACAGTATTTTCTATTTTAGGACAATGCACCATGATGAGTTGATATTTATTTATTTTAAGAAAGTGCAAAATCGATATTTTGTCTTATTTGCTTTTTTATTTTTGTAATGTTACATCTTGCTTTTTCTTTTTTTTTTAAGTGCAATATCAGTACTTTTCTATTTAAGAAAGTTAACCATTGTTACTTTATTCTTCTTTTTAAGTGAAACATCTTGACTTGTTCTACTTTTTTTTTTAAAGTGCAATATCATTACTTTTTTCTTTTTAAGAAAGTTACCCATTGTTAGTTTTTTTTCTTTTTAAGTTCAACATCATTTCTTTTGGTTTTGAGGAAGTGCAGAAACATGACTTTTTCTTCTTTTTCGGAAAGTGCGATATAATTGGCGTTTCTTCTTTTTAAGAATCATCATTTGAGTTCCTCTCAAGAAAGTGCGATATCTTCCTTTTAGTCAGAGATTGAGATTTTATTTTTATTTTTATTTTTAACCCCAGCGGTCACTACAGTGGACAGCTAACCATGTTATCAGGTTACAGGGTGCATGAAAGGGTTAAATGCAGAAATCTGTGCCTGTGCTGGAAAACATTGCGGTTGCGATGGGCTTCTGCTCAGGTGGGCTGCCGTGTATTGATGGGTGGAAAAAAAAAACGAATGATCACTTCCTGAATGGGCAAGAAGACCCCAAACCAAAAGCTTGTCTTTTTCTTCTCGTAAATGTCAAGGAGAAAAATGTCCTTCATTGTGGATGGCTGCACGCCATTTTGCTTGTGTCGCCACGCTGTATGATGTCCCGCTATTTGCCAAGCCGACGCACGCATCAAAAGCCGCTTGTCAATCCATAAAGCGGACCACCCAGCAGGCGGGACGCAAAGCCCTCCGTGGATAATGCGCCAATGCACGTCCACCTGCAGCCTTGATGTGATCGAGGGAGGCCAAACGTTGAAGCATGCACTAAGTAATGCTCAGAGACCATCAACATTCTTCACCGCTATAAAGTGTCTGCAGGGCTCTCTTGATGCAACCTCTCTTTCGCAGCATGCAATTTCGTGTCTCTCACACACACACACACACACACGCACGCACACAACATGATGTGAATCGACTATGATTGGCTTTGCATCGCAAACGCGCCCGCCAGAGTCCAAACTGGAAAATGTAAATCTCCCGCACATTTCCCAAAGTAGTTAAAAAAAAAAAAAAAAAATCGACATTCCCACATGGTGTCAGAAAATCTGTGACCGTGTGAAAACGTGCCTGCAGATCGTTGGAGCAAATCAGAAGCGTCGGTCGGGTATTGCGGCGCCTCCGTTTTAGTTAGTAGTGACAATTCTGCATTGATTCTTTGTTTTTGTTTTTTTGGGAGTGGAACGTTACATATGAAATTGACGTACATTTTTGGATTTTTATTGTTGCTATCACATGAAAAGGATTTATTCACAGATTTTGGTCTGTTTAAATACAACAAATAAGGCCTTCACAAAATTAATGAAATATATAATTTGGAGATTTACTCTTATTACTTTTTTGCCATCGGCCCAAGAATCTTTTTCAGCAAGAAAGTGAGTGAATGCACACAGCAGCTTTTTTTTAAGGCATATGTGGATTTATTTGTTTTTGTTTCCAAATTTTACTTTGATAATCAATGTCTCCAAAAGTATTTTCAAAACATGTATTTAAAAAGTAACCCAAAATTTAACCGATGTGAAAAGTCAAAATGTCGCAACCATGAAAAATATCAATTTTTTTCTCCCCAAGTGATAGATTTAGACAATCATTTATTGATTTATTTCTGATAAAGCGTAGATGACATTTGGGCTTGTTTTCGTTTTTTTAGCACATGTTCGCGATTATCCATACGCAAGTCAATACCTTGGTACATTGTTGGGAATCATGTTTTCAACATTTCGCTTACGTTTTACGTATTTGCAGTACGCCCAGTCAAAAATGTTTCCTCCACATTGGCAGTTCCACGCTTCCGTATCGCGCAAACATGATTTGCATTCACATGTTCTTCGATATGACTATTCCAGTTGATTTTGTTATTTCTTGAGCTATAAATTGAGCGATTTAATTGGGCAGTGAGAACCCACTCCACCAAATTCTTCAGACTGCACAATGACGATACCCCGCAAAAAAAAATAAAAAATCAATGCAAGGAATCCCAGCACGAGCTTATTAAAGCGTGTAGGCAATTAATAAAGGAGCGTGTCAAGCCTTTCATCGATTCTGCGCCGCAGTTGCTTGTTGCCATCGGCACTTTCATGAGCAGCCAAGTGGAGTGAGACGGTGCGGAAGCCTTTGCAGCTGCCGCCGTCGTCCATTTGCTCCAAAGAGTCCTTTGATAGCGAACGACTTAGCTTAGCTTTTAGCATGCGCTGCCATCCTGATTCCCGCTCCAGCCAGGACACATCCTCATCATCTTATGAGGTTGATGTCCTTTTTGTCATCCGCAGTCACTGGTAATTACAAAGCACATGCAATAAATGAGGGCGGCCCGCTGGTCACCTTCGCAGTGTGGAGGTCGTGGGTTCGATACCGGCTACGGCCTTCCTGTGTGGAGTTTGCATGTTCTCCCCGGGCCTGCGTGGGTTTACTCCGGGTATTCCGGTTTCGACCCTTGTGAGGAAAACGCGGTTCAGAAAATGGATGGGTGGATGCACTAAATGATATTGTTCCAAAAGAGTTTGATTCCAATGTGTCAAAAGTTACTCATGGGTCAACTTTATTTTTTTCACGGTACGATTCTCCGGCTGATATCCTCACTTGCAATTAGCTTTCCAATTGGCATTAGCTTGATTGTCTCCTGACTTTGTTTGCTCTCTTTTGCGTAACACGCGTGGCGCACATCGATTGATGGCAGCGTCGCCTGGCTGCCCTCTTCCCCCCTGCTGATGAGAAATTGGAATGGATTAGCCATTATTTGACAAATTATCTCGTGTAAATGAAACCCCAACAAAACAAACGGCTGTGAATGATATTCTTGGTGTGTGTGTGTGCGTGTGTGGGTGGGTGGGTGTACTCCATTTTCTTTATATATATTTAAAAGAAAATGGACTACTCACATATAAATGTATGTGTGTGTGTGTGTGTGTGTGTGTATATATATATATATATATATATATACTATATATATATATATATATATATATACTATATATATATATATATATATATATACTATATATATATATATATATATATATACTATATATATATATATATATATATATACTGTATATATATGTATATATTTATATACATAGTCATCGTTATTTTTACAATTATTACACATACAATACCGTAATGCTAACCACA